CTTAAACTCACGGTGATCCTCCTGCCTCAGCTTCGTGAGTGCTGGGATGACAGAGGCACCTACTTTCCAGTGGGTGAAGATGCAGAGAGGAAGACAGCATTTCAGACCCTAATACGCACTTGAGGGTGGGGCAGGATGACGACCCAGAGAATGGTTGGTTGGGTGGGGGCTTCCTCCTGAGTAGAAGCATAAATGCCTCTGATGGGGTCATCAAGCAAAGACCTCAAGATACAGGGAAGGCAGCTATGGGAAAAGGTGCTCCGGTCAAAGGGTGCGGCAAGACAGAGCCCCAGTTCCAGGAATAGAAAGAGCTGGTGTGGACGAAGCACTGAAATTAAGGATGGACAAAACCAGCTCAGAGATGTAAGATGAGGCTTAACTTTGCGAGTGACCATGCTATACCTTCAGACATTCAAGGGTGGACATCCGGTCTTGGAGACCTGTTGCTACTTAAGTGTCTAAAATGGCCAGTTACTTGTGATCCCGGTCATCCAGTGACTGGATGGCACCAGCACCCTTCCTGTCCTCAGCACTCTCCCAGCAGCCCCTTCCGGCACAGGGAACTGCTTACCCCTTTGATGAAGGTGGGTCTGTCCTTGATGCCAAAGTTCCAGAGCATGACGTCACCCCCTTTGGAGGCCACAGCCAAGGTGCTGGGGTGCGCTGGGTGCCAGGCCAGGGCCGTGGCTCTCCTGTCAAAGGGGGAGGCCTTCTGGGCTATCCGGTAAGCAGCCAGGGAGTGCACGAAGGACTGCTGCAGGCCCTGGCAAGAAGGGAGGGAGGAGGAAGTGGGGTCACTGACTTCAAACCCCAGTCCTGGATAAACCACCGCCCTGCAACTTCTTTGGAGAACCGCCCGTGCCTGGCCTGAAGTCATCTGCAGAGGACTTGAACTAATCACGGAAGGTCAGGAGCAGAGTACATTCCAACTGACACTTTTTTTTTTTTTTCTGGTACCGGGAATTGAACTCACAACCTTGCGCTTGCCAGGCAGGCACTGTGCCACTGAGCTAAATCCCCAGCCCCTGACACCTTTATTTTTTTATGCTTATGTTTTTTGTTTTTGTTTTTTTGAGGCAGAGTCTAGCTATGTAATTCAGGCTGGCCTGAACTCACTATGTAGCCCGGACTGGCCTCAGACTTGTAGTGATCCTCCTGCCTCAGCCTCCCAAGTACTGAGATTACAGGCATGCAGTCCCACACCCAGCTCATGCCACCTTTACATAAGTAAGACTCTTCTCAGCTGAGTGCCCTGGAGCCTATGCTGCAGGGTCAGAGGGATGCGACAACCTGCTGAACCAACCCATTATCCTGCAGGAAAAAGGCAGCGTGGAAACCCTAGGAAATGCCTCACCTGCTGGATCGATGGCCAGGCAGCCTCACCCAGCTTATGTTGGTGCAGAACCCTAACGATGCTCCTGCCTGCTTTCGGGACCTGCAGGCTGCCCAGCCCTGCCCAAAGGCAGCCTGAGTCATATCTCCTGCTGGGACCTGCCAAAAACAACAGACACATATTTTCCTCTGCAATCTCAGGAAGGGTTCTCAGCTGAAGCCTCATCAGGAAAGCAGCGCCACTTCACTTAAAAAGGCCAATCTGTCCCATTGTCTCCTACAGCCTTTCCACAGTCTGTTTAGCCTCAGCACAGGGCAGAAACACTTAGCAGAGATTTGACCTATCCCCCAAAAAATGCTCTTCAAAGAGTATCTGAGGAGGGCAGGACTTGGGGTTGGACCCAGGGCTTCTGCACGGAGCTGCATCCCCAGTCCTTTTTCTTCTGAGACAAGGTCTTCCTAAATTGCTCAGGAAGGGCTCAAACCCTTTTCTCCTGCCTCAGCCTCCCAGAGTGCTGGGATTACAGGGTGTGCGCCACCATGCCAGGCGGCAAACAGTAATTTTGGACTGCAACTGTAAACACGACCTTGCAGAGTTCCCCAGAGCTGAGCCGAAGACACACACAACAGTTCGGTACATGGCAGAACTCTTCCCCACGTGGACTGGGAAAGCTGGAGTTGGGTTGGGTGGCAATTTAAAAATCACATGATAAAAAGTTTTAGGACAGGGGCTGGGAATTTAGCTCAGCAGCACAGCGTCTGCCTGGCAAGCTCAAGGTTGTGAGTTCGATTCCTGGTACCACAACAAAAACAAAAACAAAAATAAAAACAAAAACAAAAACACCCCCAAAATTTTAGGACAGCATTGAAGTGACTGTTTAGGGAAAGGAAACATTTTTAAATCCTCTATTAAAATAATGTAGAGGTGACCCAACTGTCAATCCTATATCCTACCTGTTCTGGCAGTAAGAGGATCTGGTAGGATCTGGAATGAATCTAAATTAACTAGGTTACTTCGTGGGAAGAAATCGAGTTGTTATAATAACACAAAGCAACTCTGGAGCACCAAGCTGTATTACTGGATCGAACCTCAAGGGTCCGACTTCTCGCGACGACAGATTTGTTTTTCTCAAGGACAAACACCACTTCCTCAACCACCAGCTCCAGCCTCTTGAGTTCCCCACAATCTGTGTAGCCCGAGGCTCACATTCTGGTAAACCGCTGCGGATGAGAAAAAAGGAAATTGCTGCTCTCACAGATGAAAGCAAAGACAGCTAACAACTCAAGACGAAAGAGTGGGGCAGTGGCAAGGGCCTGTAATCTCAGCCACCTGGGAGGCTGAGGCAGGAAAACAGGAAGTTGCAACCCTGCCTGCGGAATGTAATGACTTAGTGAGACCCTCAAAATAAACAAAAATGCTGGGGTTGCAGCTCAGTGCCAAGGCCCCGGGTTCAATCCCCAGGACCACAAAAAACAAAAACACTCAGCACCCACACAGCCAGAAAAGTTAGGGTTCTTTCAAGCAGCCCTCGAAATACCCACTCCATTCACACCAGGACTGAAAGGCGGGCACCGGCGTAAGGGGGTCTGCTTCTTCCTGCCACCTGGGGCGGTGCCAGTCATCACCAGCGGGCCCGGCGAGTCCCGGGGCTCCTGGGGGATGGGGCGCCCGCCCCCCTCGCTCTCCGGCGTGAGCACCCGCACAGCGCAAACAGGGAAGCAGAGGCGGGCGGGGCAGTACCGGGGCCCTTCGTGCGGGGCTTCTGGGCCGCCGGCTCCGGCTCCCGCGGGCTCCTCCTGCTCCTGGGGCGCACCACCACTTTGGGGGTCTTCTGGGTTTCTGGGCACTTCCTGGGAATCATCGCGTCCTCGGAGCGAAGGAGCACTAAACCCTAGGCCGAGATCACGAGAGAGAACTCTCGGCCTCTGAAGAGAGACGAGGCGGCGACGAGGCCAGCCGAGCCGCCACAGGTAGTCGTGCTAAACCAACTTCCCGCCAAACAAGCCCAGGGCTAGTCCGTCACGAGCTCCGGCCCCGCCCCTCGGAGGCCCCGGCCCCGCCCCTCGGAAGCCCGGCCCCGCCCCTCGGAAGCCCCGCCCCTTCCTCAAGGGCGGGGTGCGCTGGGAGTCCGGCGTGCTAGCGTGCGTGCGTGTGTGTTGCGTGAGGGGCGGGGCCTGCGCTTCCAGCCTCCGGGGTCGAGAAAGTGGTGTTATTTTTTGCACGAAGAACTTGGCCTCTTCCCTAGGTGTTGGGCTTGACGAAACTTGATTGCTGGTGTCTCAGCTCAAAAGATATAAACATTGTCCAGATTATGGAAATATCCAGACGTGTCCCTATTTTGGCCAATGAGGACAGCAGCGGTTTTGCCAATCACAGCCTTACCTTTACTTCCTTCCACCTCATAGATAAGTTTTATTAGAGATACTGTAAGGGTTAGATAGGAGTAAACAGTATTGGTATGCTGTTGTGACTATAGATAATGATCTCATACCGTATACTAAAAAAAGCTTAAAGAATTTTGAGAGATTTAACCATGTTAAAAAGGGTAAACGTTTAGTTAGCGCTGTGGCATATACCTGTAATCCCGGCCTTTAGGAGGCTGAGGCAGGATGGTGAAGTTTAAGGCCAATCTGGGGTCCATGATGAGACTATCTCAAATGATACTTGAGGAAGAAATAATATGTTAAACCTGATTTAAACAATACTGCATACATGTATCAAAACGTCAGATGGTAACTCATAAATATGTATAACTTTATGTATCAGTTTTAAAAATAAACTTTAAAACGATATTATAGGTGAGGAAAAACCTGTTTTTCCCCTTGTGCCCTTTTACACAAAGAGCAATGAATCTGCAGTGGAGGTGGCAAGACGAAAGGGCCCGAGCTGGGAGCAGTGAACTGAGTCCACGACCCGGAAGTACAAGGGGAAGCGAATGGAAGCTAAGGGTTATCGTGTAGGTTTGTACAGGTTTGTTTCAGTGTGGGTGCTCAGTCACGATGAGAGTGTGCTCTTCCTGGTACAGGGAGGGAGGCACCTTTGATTTTCTCGTGGGGAATCTCTTGATCTGCCTTTACTGGACAGAGGGAGGTCAGAGCCGCTCCTGCAGCTGCTGTTTCTCAAGTGCCTTCAAGCTGGGCGCAGTGGTGCTTGCCTGTTATTCTAATGTCCTGGACCAGCCTAGGATCTATAGTGAGTCCAAGGTCAGCCTGAACTGCACATCAAGACCCTGTCTCAAAAAAAAACCCTCACCCCTTCAGTTCAAAATAACCAATGTAGGTCTGGGGATTTAGCTCAGTGGCACAGCGCCTGCCTGGCAAGTGCAAGGTTTTGAGTTCGATTCCTGGCACTGGAAGAAAAGAAAGAGAAAAAAAAATAACCAATGTGAGCCGGGCATGGTGGCACACTCCTGTAATCCCAGCACTTGGGAGGCTGAAGCAGGAGGGTTGCCTGGAGTTCAAGGCCAGCCTGGGCTACATAGCAAGACACTGTCTCAAAAACAAACAAATAAAAAATCCATACACTTTAATGCTGCCAATCTGATAAGGGGGTGAGGGTGCAACAGCACTGAGCTGCAGGCCATGGAACACCCATGCCATGAAAACCCCTGGACAGATGTTTTGGTCCTCTCTGTGCTACTATTTTTCACATAAGGCATCATAAGGCAACTCATTCAAAAGCTGCTAGTGACAGCAAATTGAGGTCCCGTGTTCCCCCTGCAAACCAGGCATGAACGTGACCCTATGAAATGCCAGTTTCTTTGATCTGCAAAACAATAAGTGGCTTTATTGAGGTGTTTTCTAGAAAAAGTAGTGTTCCGCAGTGGAAAAGCATTGTACTTAGACTATGTGATCTTAGGGTCATCATTACATTTTTCCACGCCTTAGTTTCCCCATCACAAAATGAAAGGGGAAGGTCTAGGTGGGCCTTTGCACCCCTTTCAGGTTGATGTCAAACTCACAGGAATCTTCCTGCCTCAGCCTCCCGAGTGCTGGGATCACAGGCGTGCACCACCACACCTGATCCCTTTCAGTTTTAAAAGCTGTGATCTTGTGACATGCTCCAGAAGCAGCAAATGGCAGCTTTCCACTGTAATCTCCCTGGAAGTTTCCATGCAGTAGAAACCATTTTTCTGGTGCAGGCTGATACATGACAGGTTCTGCTCAAGCAGTCTGTGAAGCCGAGCACAGTGCTGAGTCTGCAGAAGCATCCATAATCCACACAGGCGAGGCGCGCTGGCTTCCCACACACAGTCAGTGCAGCTAGTGGTTTGCAAATGACAGCCTCGAAGATTCTGCAGAGCTTGCAGGGACAGAAGCTGAAATTCCTCCTGCAGGACTGGAAACAGGCTGGGGAGGACTCAGCCTCCAGAGTTCTTATTGCTTGGCATCCCCAGGCCATGTTCAAATGCCCAAATATGACCAAATTCACAGTAAGGTTCTATGGAAGCATGACTCCTCCCTCTGTGAATATTAAATATCCTATTCAAAAATATAATTTGAGGTTTGGACGCAGCTCAGTGGTAGAGCATGTGCTTTCCATGCGTCTGACTCTGGGCTTAGAAAATTGGGGGTATCTGCAGAAGTGTCAGACATCTAACCCTAATCCAAAACAAATTTATTCTGAGGGTTGGGGATACAGTTCAGCGGCACAGTGCCTGCCTGGCAAGCACAAGGTCCTGAGTTTGATTCCAGGTACCAAAAACAAATTTTTATTCTCTCTGTTTCTCTCTCTCTTCTTCTCCCTCTCCCTCTCTCTCTGCTTCTCTCCTTTTGAGACAGGGTTGCACTATGTAGTCCAGGCTAGCCTTGAACTCACTATATTGCCCAGGCTGCTCTCAAACTGACACTAATCCTCCTGCCTCAGCCTCCCAAATGCTGGGTCTTCTGTCTAGGGGGGATGAGGCAGCATCCACACCCTAAATCAGTGTCTGTCATGAAATGCCACCAGTACAGGACACCAGGGCTCTTCTCCAGGCAGCTGGATTTGCTGGCAATTGCCCGAGTGCTTGTGCCATCTATGGGAAATGCTTTGCAGTCCGTACAGTATTCTACAAATAGAAGTTGTTGTATGATCTCCCATGGAAGTGCTGCTTACTGATAAGATCTGATAAAGTTGGTGAAGAAGTCTGGTAGTCTCAAAAACCCTCACCAGTAAGATATCTATTGTGGACAGAGGAGGGAGACCAGAGAATCAGAAAAACAGGATTCCTAGCTCGTCTCCTTCTAGGTATTGTCTCGAAAGGGTTGAAGACACCATATCCCAATGATCCATGCATACCCGTGTTTACAGCAGCACAATTCATAATAGCTAAATATTGGAAGCTGCCTATATGTCCATCAACAGATGAATGGATAAAGCGTGGTATATAGACACAGCAGAGTACTACTCTGCCATAAAGAAGGATAAATTTGAGTCATTGGTAGGAGCATGGTTGTGCCTTGAGACTATAATGTGAAGTGAAATAAACCAAATACAGAAGCTTAAGTATGGCATGGTGTCTCTTACATGAGAGAGCCAAAGCATAAGCAAAGAACAAAATAAAAGCTAGACAATAGGAAAGAGGGAGGGAGATCGCTTGCAAAAGGGAAGGGGACCAAGGGACAGAGGGATGGGAGGGCAGGGCAGGGGCTGAAAAAAGAATCCAGACTGTGACGGGCACTCAGTGACCCCCCACAAGGACTGTGATCGCTATGCACTGCAAAGGCACACCAATACAGATCAAAGATTACCAGCTTCCACTGCCTGAAAAAAATAAAAAGAAGGGGATTGGGGTCCAGCTCCTGCTGACGCAAAGTTCTCTTCTGAGGACAGCGCAGGAGGGAAAGTGACCCAAGCTGGGTCCTATGGGCCCAGGGAGGAGTCCCATGTCGGCAGGGGGCCACATTCTTTCACATTCCCGCTGCCCACGCCTCTTCCTCGGCCAGGGGTGGCACATCCCCTTTTGGTGACCAAGCACTGCCCCAGGGAAAACCAGCGGCTATGTTTTCTGTAGAGGGGCTGCTGGAGGCATGGTGCTTATTGGTGAAGCCAGGAGCCTGGTGGATGGTGTCCTGGCACAAACCCACAGCCCCTCCTGACAGCCCGATTCCCAAGTGGCGCCCTTGCCCATGCGTGCACCCTGCTTCCCCTTGTGCTCAAGTACCCTGAGTCCTAAGGGCCCCGAGTCAGTTCTGTCCTAATTAGAGGCCATTGGCAGCCACAGGGCTGCTGAGCTATTCTTCAAAAGGCTCATTTATGAAACTAGATTAGGGAAAAGAAAACTTCCTACTTTTTAAGTGCAAGGAGCATTGCAAGAGATTTCCAAAGCTAACAGCTTTGGCCTTGGGTAGCCTGACATAGTGGGGTGACCAGTGATCCCCAAAAAGGTAGGTCTGCATCCTAATCCCCAGAACCTATCATTCTTCTTCTTCTTTTTCTTTTCAGTACTGGGGATGGAACTCAGGAACTTGCGCTTGCCAGGCAGGCGCTTATGCCACTGAGCTATATCCCCAGCCCCCAGAACCTATCATTTTTACCTGGGTTGGGAAAAAGGTCTTTGGAGATGGTTTGAAAATGAGATGAACTTTGTGGATTATCTGGCTCAAAATCCAGTGGTATTTATTTATTTTTTTAAACAGGGTCTCGCTCTGTAATTCGGGTTGGCCTCAAAGTCACTAGGTAGCCCAGGCTGGCCTCATGACAATCCTCTTGCCTCAGCCTCCCGGTGCTGGGATTACAGGTGTGCCCCAGCACACCTGGTGCAAGTACGTCTTTAAAGGTGAGGCCAAAAAATAAAAATAAAAAAGAACAAGGCCGAAGGAGATGAGATGCAGACAGAGAGCCAGGGAGGGTGGAGACAGACTGGAGCTGAGTGGCGGTAGACTCCTGCTGCCAAGGACTGCCAGCTGCCACCGAAGCCAGGCAGAGCAAGGTTCTCGCAAGAGCCAGCGCTGTGATTTTGATTTCCGGCCCTGAGAGCTGTGCGACAACCCATTCCTGTTGTTTCCAGTCACCCCACAGGATCGCGGCAG